AGCTGCTGGTGGAGGAAGTGGGTGGCTGGTGGTGGCTAGAGGTAGCTGCTGGTGGAAGTGGGTGGCTGGAGTGTAGCTGCTGGTGGAGGTTGTGGGTGGTTTGTGGTGGCTAGGGTTGCTGCTGGTGGAGGGTTGTGGGTGGCAGTGAAGTGTAGCTCCTGGTGGAGTTGTGGATGGCTGGTGGTGGGTAGAGTGTAGCTGCTGGTTGTGTGCTGATGTGGTTAGGGTGTGCTGCTGGCGGAGGGTTGTGGGTGGCTGGAGTGTAGCTGCTGGTGGAGGTTGTGGGTGGCTGGTGGTGGCTAGAGTGTAGCTGCTGGTGGCTGGTTGTCGGTGGCTGCTGTTGTTAGAATGTAGCTGCTGGTGGAGGGTTGTGTGGCTGAGTGTTTTTTTGCGGAGGAATAGCCCACTTGGGCATTGACCCAAGCGAAGGGCCTTAGGGGTAACATTAGAGTAAAATAAAATAGAAAGAAAGGTGTATTAAGCACGGAAACCCAGGCTGGCACTTTGTGAGACAGATTGTATGAGTATGGAAAGACACAAGAAGGCAGAGCATTCCACAGTTTGGCTGTGTGAGGAGAGAAGGTTGTACTATAATGGGTTATTCTAGTGCAGGGTTGCATGTGCCATATGCGGCCCTCTAGTAGCTCTGTTGCGGCCCTCTGTGTTATAAGTAATCTAGACTGTTAAAATATTAAATCAATATGAAATAAAACTGGGACTTGAGGCAATGGGAACAATCTCTACCTTCATTCAGTTTACACGTACAGTTGTTACCAGCTATACTGAAAAGATTATTTGTCTTCCATTTTTGCACTGCATTTTACTGAAAGGTAATTACAATTTCAATTTGACTAACAGTTTGGAGACCACAGTCAGCAGCAGGTCCATAGCTGGATGGGAAGTGAATGTGTCGATCGGAGAGCGAGGCTGTCTAGGTGGGAGCACTGTTGCCGCTAACCAGTTATGTTGATTTTATCTTGGTACATGTATTATGTCTTCCTCAACATATCCACGAGAAACCTATAGAAGTAAACGAGAAAATTATATGGTTCATATTTTAAGAAAATAAGTGATTACACGTACAGCTCCTCCCCGACTTACGACCTACTCGACTTACAGCAACCCGCACTTACGACCTGTCTCAGTTGTACCAAAATTTTGTCAAATTACGTATTTTCAAGTCCCAACGTCGGTACACAGACAAAATTTTCGGTAATTCACTTTAAAATGGCTGGCAAGCTTAAAAGTGAGAGTTTTGTGGTGCTGAGAAGAAAAAGAGACAGCCATTTTAGATTTTCTATGTATTATTTAAGCATTTTCGACTTACGACCATTTCGACTTATGACCTGCATTTGGGTTCCTAACCCCCTCGTAAGTTGGGGAGGAGCTGTATGTGTGTGTGAGCACTTACCTTTAATGTAGTCAGCTGAATGCACACTGGGCCCCCATAATTTTCTATTTACAGGATACATGGAGACTATATTAATTGGATGAAGCAGAGGAGGGTTTATGTACAGGGGAAACTTGCTGGTTGAAGGTATTGGATCATCTTTAGGGAGTGAAGAGGCAGCACCTGTGGGGCGTGAGGAGACAGCAATGGGGACTTCTTAAAATAGATGTCCAAGTTAGACTGCACAGTTTGCTTTTTCTTTTCACTAGAAATTTCCTTGTAGCAAGCAAATGCATCTTGGACCATTCTGTCAACTTTGGCAAAAGGCTCATAATTTTGATCTATTCCGTCAAACATTTGCATCCCCTTATTAATTATAGCAAATGCCTCTGATATTTGCTTCAGTGCATTTTTGTGTGCTTCCAGTTCGATAAGATCCTCGTTACTTAACTCTTCCGCTAAATTTCAACCAACTATTCAACATCTTCATTATCAATTTCTAACTGAAGCTGTTTACCCAACTCCACTATCTTGTTAATACAGTAATCTCAGAAATTACTTCATTTTCATTAAATCCTCTGAAACTGTTCACATATCTTTTCAGTATTTTCTTCCATATTCCATTCATGCACTGCTCTGTAACCTTATCCCATGCTGCAATAATGTTCTTTATACAATTTATACATGTCAAAATGTTGTAGTCCTTCCAAAACTGTCTGAGCGTTTTGCTGCTTCAGTAGCAGCAACAGCCACAGCCTGAGCGAAGGTCGTACTTAAATAATTAGCTTTAAAAGCTGCAATAGCACCTTGATCCATGGGCTGGATGACATAGGTGTTAGGTGGAATGTAGACTATCTTAACAGCAGGGTGCATGTCGTCCAGGTGTGGTGGGTGTCCCGGAGCATTATCCAAAATTAGCAAAATCTTGAATGCAATCCCTTGTTGCAGACAATACTTTTTGGCTCGAGGAATGAAACAATTCATGAACCAATCCTCAAACAGTACTATGGTCATCCAGGCTTTCTTGTTACTGCGATAAAACACTGGCAGTGGTTCTCTGAATGATAGATCATGAACGGCTTTATCTTGAAACCAGCTACATTCCCCCCCAACAGAAGTGTAATTCGGTCCTTGAATGCCTTGAAACCTGGCATTGTTTTTGCCTCTTTGTGGATGAATGTCCGTTCAGGCATGCGCTTCCAGTTTCATCCACATTGAATATTTGCTCAGGCAAATAATTTCCTTACACGATCTAGCTCCTCCTTAAAAGCTTTGGCAGCAACAACATCAGCACTAACTGCCTCTCCACTCACCTTAACATTATGTAAACTGTAGCGGTTCTTAAATCTGTTAAACCACCCATGACTTGCTGTGAAGGTTTGGTCGCACTCATCTCCTGCCTGCTCCTTCAGGCTTTTGAAAAGGCTTCTTGCCTTAGCCTGTAAGTTTAGAAGGCTTAAAGGTACACACTTCTGTATCTGGTCTTCCATCCATATCACCAATAATTTTTCCATCTCGTGAATGGGACCTTGTCTTTTCTTCGTTATTATAGTTACCTTTATAGGTGCTGATCCTTTCACTACCTCACAAATACGTTTCTTGTCCTTCAAAATAGTAGATATGATCGAGTGCGAGAAACCTAGATCGCGTGAAATGGTTGCTACAGTTTTTCCATTTTCATACTGCATTATTATCTTCATTTTCGTCTCAAAAGTAATTGACTGTCTCCTTTTCTTCTGAGCACTACCAGCACTCACTTGTACGCTATCCTAATCTGTGAAAGTTTTGTGTTCGACTGGGCTTATGCTGATATTGCAGGAGTCGTAGACCCTCAGCAATTTGGCAATATGAAAACTTCCTCCACCACTCACTGTCTTGTCAGCTTTCTCGATTACATATACCGCCATCTCGAGAAACGAAAAGCGTCTGTAGCTGTCGCCTTCATTGATTTCACTAAAGCATTCGACCTAGTCGACCACAATATAATCAACAAAGCTATTGACCTCGGGCTTCGGAGAAGTCTTATACCATGGCTTACAGACTTCCTCAGTGACCGACGCCAAGCTGTACGCTTCCGAGGGGCTGTCTCCACCTTTCAGTCACTCACCTGTGGCGTCCCCCAAGGCACCAAGATGGGACCACTCTGCTTCCTTATGCTCATCAATGATGCCCTAAGAGAAATCCCCGCTCGCTGGAAATATGTCGATGACTCCACCATTGGGATCAGCGTCAACAATTCTGCTCCCGACTATACCGCCCTTCAGGATTTATTGAACAGTCTCCAAAACTGGGCCACCAACAACCATGTCACCATCAACCATACCAAGACCATGGTTATGCACATCAACCTCTCCTCCGACATTGTCCCACCTCCTTCCATTACTTTAGGTCCAAACACACTCCAGGTTGTAGATTCCACGAAGCTCCTCGGCGTCACCATAGACAACAAACTAAATTGGAAACCACACGTCAGTGAAGTTGTCAAATCCTCCAGTTTCCGTCTCCACCTCCTCCGCCGACTCAAGTCCCTCGGAGTTCCTGCACCCGAGCTCCTCAGTGTTTACTCAACATTCATACTTCCCAAGCTCACCTATGCCTCCCCTACCTGGTCTTCCTCCCTAAATGCCTACAACGTAAACACCTAGAAAAAGTGCAAAAGAGGGGCATGCAAGATTATTCTCTCCCCTTCCTACTCCACATATCAAGAAGCGCTCAACACACTGACCCTTTCGACTCTCACTGACCATCACCATGACCTCATCTGCAAATTTGGTAAGAAGCTTCTACACCATCCTCGACACCGGCTCCTACTACCACCTGAGATCCCTAGCCCGAGAATTGCTGTTCGACACCACAACCGCATCCAGCCCATACGTGCACGAACTGATCGTTATAAGAACAGCCCAGTCCCAACCATTGTAAAAATTATCAATAACTTGTAATAAACCAGTGTATTCACTCCCAGTAAATACTACTTCTTGCACTGTCACTATGTTGAAATGCACTGTAGTTTGAGCTTTTCCCCATCTAGTTATTATATATCTTATTTGTATCACTTATGTTACTTGTATATTATTTGTAATTCGAAACCCATTCCCCAAATATGTAATTGTATATTTTCAGCATTCTGGCTGCCAAGCTCTTTCAATAAACCGTTAATTATTATTATTATTATTATTATTATTATTATTATTATTATCCAGTCATTCTAAAGTGAATTAGATACGAAAATAATGTCAGTACACAGCGTGATCACTATCGTTAACAACGACAGCCAAACACTAACTAAGCGCTCTATGGCATGGGTGCTGCAGCCACGAGGCGACCCAGCCCACAGGACGCTCTTTTACGGGACGGAAACATTTCGGTCAAGAAATACGGGCGTCATTTGAAAAATTTTTGGTACCGACTGCGGCGGTCATATGTGTGGGTGGTCGTACCGACCGAGGCAGGTCGTAAGTGCGGGTGGGCTGTAGGGGGGCTGAGAGACCTGGGTGATGCAATGTTTTGCCAAAAAACCCTGCACGAGACGTGAAGAATGGGCAGGCGCGTTGTCATGATGAAGCTGCCAGTCAACACTTTCCCACAGCTGCGGTTGTTGTCTTCTTACCACATCCCTCAGCCGGCGAAGAACTTCGATGTAGTACTCCTTCGTTATTGTTTGGCCTGGAAGAGCGTACTCGTGGTGGACGACACCTTCATGATCAAAAAACACCGTCAACATGGCCTTGACGTTGCTCCGACTTTGCCGTGCCTACTTCGGACGTGGAGATGCAGGCGACTTCCATTGGGACGACTGGGCTTTTGTTTCAGGGTCATAGTCGTAGACCCACGACTCATCTCCGGTTATGACCTGTTTGAGGAAATGTCGGTCATTGTTAGTGGTTTGAAGCAAGTCCTTTGCAACCTCTGCATGAAATTCCTTCTGCTCTTGTGACAGGAGCCGCGGAACGAATTTTGCCGCCACGCGTTTCATGCCAAGATCCTGCGTCAAAAACTCTGAAACAATCGTCCCTGGAATCCCTAGATCATCTTCTAATTCTCGCACTGTCAATCGCCGATTTTCATTGATTGCAACCTGCACACGTTCAACATTTTCGGGTGTTCTGCTTGTTGAAGGCCTTCCAGAACGTGGATCACTTTCAACGGATTCTCGGCCATCTTTGAAGCGTTTGTACCACAATTTTATCTGGGCTTCAATCATTGAATCATCCCCGAAAGCCTTCTTAATCATTCGAATAGTTTCCGCGGACGAATGTTCAAGTTTGTAACAAAACTTGATGCAGATTTGCTGATCTACTCGCTCGGTCATTGTGAGTGCTACGGTCACTCAGTACTCACGCTCACTGAACGGCGTCTGCCGGGCAACTGAGTTGTCCCATGGGAGTGTGGCTGTTCACGCATGTGCAGTACGGTCCTCTCTGAGTGGCTGCCAAGTTACATCAAGGCCACGCGACCAGTTCTCACAATATTCACAGTGGCTGGATACTTTCCGGACAGACCTCGTATATGCTAATCTGGCCCATAAGCCATGCTCTTCGTTTACAGCTACAAATAGCTGATCGGTTCCCCTGAACGTTTTACCTGTCCCCGGACTGTGCGTATTTATATGAAACTTTTATAATAAATATTTAAAATTTTCTAACCTCCTCTCTGAAGTGCTTATGCCTTGAAATAATTTGTTTTTTGATAGTCAAGATATTTAACATTATTTTAGATAATAACAGTTCTGCTTACTAATTGTGAACACATTTAGTTTGAATTTTCTAATAACCAATCAGCTGTTAGTATAGAAGAGGGGTGTGGGGTCAGGTTAGCGTGGAAAGAATATAGCTATATGTAAATAAGTTCTGTTCCCTCATGAGCTACATGTTGTCTCGTGTTTTGTTTTTTCTGTAGAATATTTAATAATGAATACAATAATGTATAGTACTGTACTGTGATATCCTTTGTAAAACTTTCTATTATTGCACAAATCACAAATTTTTTCTGAGTGACAAGAAGAGTACTGAGGGTATTTTCACTTTCAGGTGGATATAATTGTAGTTGGAAAGGTAGATATTTACTGTGAGTGATGTAGGTTTATCTGTATATTGCAGGCACAAGAGACAGTGGCAGGGTTTGCTCCAGGGGCACGACACAAATTTCTTACTTTCGATCCGGACTTTACACTGCCTGAGATGTACTTGCACAGACCACCACCCCGTGTAAGGCTTTCATTGTTTACAAAGAGTGATGCTCATAGTTCCCTCTATCATATAATTATATATCATATGTAATACTGTTGCCTTAAATAAGCTAAGAAACATGTTCATAATATTTAAAGAAATATATGTACAGATAGTTTAAATTTTGTGTCTTAAGCAGGGCCGAATTAAAGGCAGGGCAAACAGGGCAGTTGCTCAGGTCGTCAAGGTACCCAGGGCTCCCAAGATGTTAAAAAGTATAAAAATTTTGATAAAAAAAGAAAAAAGAATAAATATTGTATACTAAAACATGAAAATGAAAATAGATCCATTTTGTAAAAATAAATAGGTTACAACTTGATCAAATCTAGACGCAGTGGTTCCCGACCTCTTCTGTATTACGATCCCTTTCAGCATCTTGAAAGATACGGTGACCCCACGCAAAAATATAATACCAACTCTAATTCATAAGTATATAATGAAGTTAGAAAATTGTTTCTTCAAAGATTTTTTTAATTGAACTTACAAGAGAATGTTGAGCTTGATATTGTTAACAAATTTGCAAAACGATATTGTAAAAATATTGGCACTCAAACTTAAAATAGAATAAAACATTGCTTTGACATGGCGCTAATATTCTTAATGAGATTGCTGGTACTGTACTGTTTTCCCTTACTAACTCTACATTCTGTGGTGATGTTTTGGATACTACTCAACAAAGATCAGCTGTAGGGTTTTTTGGCTGTTGCAATTAGCAAGGCAGCAGTGTAGAGTATGATGTCATCAGTGCAGCTTTGCTTTGACTCTGGAAAGACCCGCCACTGTCAAGACGAGATTTTTTTTCTTCAATTTTTCAACCTCAAATTTAAAATTTTGGGGGCTTCCTTTCGTGAATTTTGGAAGTTTTTACTGCAAAAGACACCAGCTTATTGGGTTTCATTGACTCGTCTGACAATACTTTGCTACAAACCACACACTGGGGTTTTCTATGCCTGCTGACATGATGAAGGTAAAGCCAAAGTTGAAATAGTCCTCCATATTCTTTTGTTTGCTGCCATGGCTGTTTTTCTTGTAACAGCCTACAATAAAACAAAATGTACACATTATTTCCTTTTCAAAAGTACATCTGTACTTTTGGACACCGAATTTCCTGGTACCGGTACACATATTTTCAAATGGTTTTGACTTACGGATAAAACACTTCGAAATATTTCAACAGGTACAAATAACGAATGCGTGTATTTCACTAGTCAAAGCTCACTGTTACTACATATGCTAAACTGCCTAATTTTATTCACCTACAAAAATGAAACACACTGTCATTTATAGTGTACTGTACAACATAATCCTACTTTAATGTGAAGGTGAACATAGCACAATAATTTACAAATTAAGGGAGACAAAAGGCGCATTCCTCTCACCGCCTCTGACGACAGCGGCCCGAGTACTAACGGAACAAATTCATTGTGATAAGGCAGAGTCAAAATATTCTTAAGTGTAGGAATTTGCCTGGTTTGAGTAGAATGAAAGGATTTTTTAGCCCTTTTAAAACAATGATCAACAAACAATGAAGGGTACCCAAGTTTTTGTACAATGGAACGAATGTGTTTCAGTTCTTCATCAATAAATTCAGGGTCACAAATACGCAAACATCTTAAAAACATAGCAGAAAAAACTGACATTTTGGTAGATTCCAGGTGACTCGATAAAAAATGTATGAAACTGTCTCCCTGTGTAGGCTTTCTGTACACCTTAAATTTAGAGTTATGACCATTTCTAATGATAAGCATATCAAGAAATGGAAGGGATCCATTTATTTCTCTTTCAATTTTGAATGTAATACTTGGGACAAGCTTTATGATCTTGTCCCAAGTAATACATACATACATACATACATACATACATACATACATACATACATACATACATATATAGTTAACCACGCAAAACCAGACTATACTGCGTGTATTAATATGTATGTACTTACATATATATATACACACAGTATAGTCTGGTTTTACGCGGTTAATTAAACCCACGGAGGTTTGCGTATAAAGCGGAATGCGTAAATAAAATAACAGAACCTATGGGATTAATTGAAATAGAGACTGGGCTGACCTCCAGACTACCATTTTTTGGGGGGCTATCGCCGACACAATACTGTACATTGTAGTAAAATTAACATCTTAATTTTATGATGGTATGCACACACAATTAATATACTGTATAAGAGAAATATCCATAATATTAGGTTTTTTAACACTTACGTTAGTAGAAGAGATGGCTGGGCACATGGGGATGGGGGGGTTGGTTCCGAGGCAGAGGGCAGATTATTGGCTCTCACCTGTATCACCTGTTTATCCACCACAGAGGCTAGCAGGGCCTCCTCGTCAAACCCCTCGAAGTTCATATCCTTACTATCACTGACTGAGCTGGCTGTGGTGGTTGGCGGGTGAAGAACTCGGTGATGCTTTGTTGACGGCTAGCATTGATGTGGTCGTGATACAGCTGAACATAGGGCTCCAGGAATTGCAACAGAAGGTTATTTGACACTTCATAGCAATGATTGTCTGTGTCTTTGGCAAGGATGAGCTTCATTCTCTCAGCTAACTTGATGACATCCTTCACATCAGCATGTGTTAGTTTCTACTCTTGTTGTTCTGTAACACCTGGCTGCACACTGATGTCATCATCTTCCAACATCTCGTCCGCAGTCACCTCAGGTTGCCTGATTACCTCCAGGATTTTGTCGTTGGTGGTCTCGGAGAAGCCTGCAGCTCTAACACTTTGTGCAGCCTCTCTTGCATTCTCCAATGCCACAGCAACAGACTGAGCCTCGCCAGCCACCGCTTGCCTCTGCCTCCCACCTGGGATACCCTCCAACACATGCTGCCACAAGTGCCGAATCGTTGCCACAGATAGCTGCCCCCATGCCTCCACCAAGATATCAACAGCGTTCTTCACGTTAAACAGCTTTCAGAACTGCTTGACCCGCACTTCATGGTCCGCCAAATCTTGTTCGTGTTCCCCGTCCTCGCTATCGGTGCCACTCTCTAGGTTCTGCAGTTTATCCTTGGTGTTAGTGAAGTCGTCCAGGAGCCGAAACTTCTTGGTGGAGAAAGCAGCCTTCATGTTGCAAATCAACTCCTGATCCATGGGCTGGATTAACGACGTAGTGTTAGCGGGAAGGAAGACCACTTTTACGTTGGGGTGACGATCCAGCAAAAAAGGCGAGTGTCCTGGTGCGTTGTCGAGGAGCAACAAAATGTTGAATGGCACATTATTTTTCACGCAGAATTTCTTGAGATCAGGAACGAGACAGTTGTCAAACCAGGAGAGGGACAGACCAGAGTACATCTACGCCTTCCCTGAGGTTAGCCAGTGGACACTTAACTTGCTCATGTCCATATTCTTGTAGGCATGCAGCTTGCAGGCTTTGTGGATCACAGACAACTTCAGCTTAGCAGTGCCAGAGGCATTGGTGGTGAACAGTACGGTGATGCGCTCCTTCTGCATTTTGCATCCCCGACACTTGCTAGTAGACTTGACTACGAAGGTCTTGGATGTCAATTTCTTCCTGTACAACCTTAATTCATCCATATTGAACACTTGGTCGTCGGTGTACTGGCCTTCCTCCATAATTTCCTGTCAAAATGGGGGAAAATTCCTGGCGGCAGCCCGGTCGGCACTTGCTCCTTCTCCGACTATTTCTATATTTGTGATCTTGTTGCGTCGATTAAAACCTTGCAGCCACTCAGCGGAAGCACTGAAGGGCTTGGGCTCCGCAGCCCCCATATTTCTTGCCACTGCTGTGTAGAGTTCTCGGGCGTAGTCCTGCAGTGCCCGAGTGTCGACCGCCATGTTCCTTCTTGACTGATGAATAATGTAGCTTACCAACAATCCCTCGGTCTTCAGCAGCACCTTATTGTGGCAATATTTCACCAGCGAGGCACCTACAGGCTTGGTAATGTTCATGTGTTTATTGATTTTGCCAGCATCCTTCTTGATAGTGCGGATCATCGATTCATTCACTCCATATTGTCTGGCCAGATCTACCTGTCTCGTGCCTTTTTCTAACTCCTGGACGATCTTGTACTTTACCTCATAGCTTAAGGTGCATTGCACC